TTATGGCCTTTCTGCTGTTGATACAAATCTTTATTTTTAGCTCATGATGGTCCAGCCATGCATGCATCTTAAGTGTTTAATAAAACACCGGAGGTGTCCCAAGGTCACAGGTGAGATGCCAAGCTTTCGGTTTTAGAAAAATGTACATTTCTCAAACTTGCCCAATTTATCTTCTAAGATATCTTATTTCAAACAAGTTGATAATCAAAAAGAAAATACAAAAAACTGTTCTTTATTAAAGTGACAAATCCCATAATTTTAAAGCAAATGTGTAGATAATTGGACCAGGTCAGTGTTTATAAACTTTTTTTTACCCATGGCACCTTTTGAAAGTATGCAAAAGGTGCCCAGATGGGTTTTTTTTACATTTAGACTGGGGTGGCATACTTTCAAAAGGCACCTTTACCCACATGACGTGTGGGGAGCCTCCAAAATCCATACTAGACCTTCTCTAAAATAGGGGTCTGGTATGAATTTTAAGGGGGCACCACAATAAAAAAAAAAAAGTAGGATTCCCCCTTTCACATCATTCCCCCTTTACATCAGAATACCCCTTCAGGAGCCACCTTCCCTTACACTAGAAGCTGCTCTTCACATCAAAGTCCCCCGATTCCACATCAAAAGCGCTCTTCACATCAGAGGCATGACACTGTGTAAACATTTTTGAGGCACCCCCGTCTGGTTGAGAAAGGCTGGACCATGTAACGACACATCCAAGCTGATCAAAATGCACTTATCAAAACAGATGAAAGAAAAATCCAGATATACAATGGCCATAATTGCTACCATCATTTGGCCATTTTTAAAACCTTTTGGCATGATCCCCACATATTAGGTAGGAAGTAGAGCAGAGATTAACTTCCAGAGGCACCAAACATCATATATGCCTATTGTTGTTTAAGAACTGAACACCTAAAAATAGAATTTGGATTGAGCAGGACAATAGTAAAAAGTTTGTGGACAGTATTATACCTGTGCAATGCACTACTGTGCAGTATAACATTTTGAATGGCACCCCAACACAAAACTACAGTAGGGATGACAGACCTGGGTGTTTGAGTTAAACATTACCTTCAGGTTTTGCTACTTCTGTGTAGAAGTGCTTTCGCAGCTCATTTAAAACACAACACCCTGTTCGTTTAAATGCTGCTTGCAAGAGACTTTAAAAGATCGTAGATAGATAGATAGATAGATAGATGTTGGTGGGTTAGATACATATTTCTTAAAATGAACTGCTTGCATTTTTATTTTAAATTATGAGATTAAAGTCCAACTCCAGACAAACCTTTTTTGTTTGTTTGATTATAGTGTCAGTGACAGGAAGGGCAGTACTGATAGGAAAGCTCCCAACTGGGGACAGAGACAGCAAAAAAAACAACTATTTTTCCACTTAAATGTGGAAGGGTTAGAACCTCTTTCAGCGCCTTGATTTTTTAAATTTGTTTTGCTATCCATCTTCCTATCTGGGTGATCCTATTCCCTTCAATTCTTGCCCTGGTGACACAAGAAAAACAGCTATTGGCCAATCCAGTGGGAATACTGAAACTGTACTTTAAAAGCATAAACACCTGGTTAAAAAAAAAAAAAGAAAATTTCTGAATTTCCGCTGGAGCGTTATTCTTTTTGTCATGAGCTACATTTAGTTAGCTAATTTGTATTATTATTATACAGGATTTATATGGCTCCAACAGTTTGCGCAGCACTTTACAATATAAGGAAGAGATTACAATCACAATACAATTCAAGACAAGATAGTCCATCACACGAACAAGCTTGGAGCCACCCTCCAGAAGGAAGGACAGTGTCAGCATGAATTCAGACATGATTTGAGGATCTACAGCCGAGTGATACACAAATAAGATACATTTTTTGTCAATATTTAAAAGGTACTTGAATCCTTTAAGATATAGCTCCTGAGTTTAGGGTCACTTTAAAGGTTCTGTGGAATATCTTTATAAAAGGCAGATAAGCTATCAGCAAAGTCGGGTCATTTTGGTAAGGTTAAAACTATAAAGAGTTCAAATGTGCGATCCAGCAAAACATTTTGCATTTTACTCATTTAGGAGGCACAAGCTACCTGAATGTCATTTTATTTGTGCTGCTGGTTGCCTGGTTCAATAAATGTCAGTGTCTGACAGAATTCTTATGTTGGAATTGTCTCTAAAGTTGAAAAGCCTGTACAGTGTGTTCCCAGGTTCTCAGCAACACTCTCTATAGGTCTCATTTGCTGTTCGCATAGTGTTGATGTTTTCCAAAAAACTGCTGAAGTCTCAGGCATCATCCACATTAAAATCTATTTTTATTAGCTAGAATATAACATTTCTGGATAAAGGAAACATAAACAGAAATGTAAATTAAGTTGATAAAAAAAGATTAAATGAAAATGAAACCTCGCTTATAACTTTAGATTTTGATATTGCATGTATCCATGTAGCAATTGGCAAAGGGAGAATCCAGTCTTATCTTGCATGATTTGTAGTCCTGACTGTTCAGTGGTTTGTCCTGTGCATATATAACCAATACATACTGTAGCTCCCTTGATGAAGTGCAGTTCAGTGACATGGAGTACAATATGTGCAGGTTAGCTTATTTGTGAGGTGGAACTGTGTCGTTAACAGATAGCAGTTTGCTTTTTGGGCTCTGCTATTCACCGATAGCGCTCATAAGCTCACAACCAATTTGTTAACGAGTCCATTATTGGGAAACCAGTTTTAGAGAAGACTGTATAAAAATTGTATATACAAGGTCACCGCTGCCGCCCCGAGGCCGGGCCTCGGTGGCCTTGTGGGAAATCCGGGCCTGTGTATAACCTACAATTATTCTTATACAGGATTTATATAGCATCATCAGTTTCCACACGTTTTACAATATAACCTACAATGTATTTGTATTTATTTCTACAGCTTCAGATTACATTTTTTTACTTCCCTTTTCAATTCAACCAGACCCATACAGATGACTGGGGGCTCATCTATGACCAGGGACTAGAAAGGTAGCCTAGCTGTTTAGATCATCTACCTATTGTGATTCTACCCAAGCCGCATAGAACGGCTTGTACCCATGAAACGTGAAACATGGTCAGATCGCAGACCACCCCAATTACCTGAACCAAAGGGTTTTTCTCCCTGCAGGCTGCTGCGGCAGAGAGGCTTGTAGTTTTCCATGGAATACAAGTGTGGAGACATCATCACACTTTTGGTCCATTGCCACTTTCTTCCATACCCGTTACTGCATGTCTGTACCGTTGTACGGACAGGAGGAAGAGTCTTCAGGAGCCAGAGCTTGCAGCAACAATCTACTGATCATGGTTGCAATGGCTCCTATCTTTCTTTTATGAAGAAGTGTGCATGTATACATTTTCTGCAAAAGGTGAAATTATCCTTCAAGACTTTGAAGAATAAGGAAAACTGTAAGTACATAGTACAACATTACTCTATCAAAAAAGTAAACTGTGCAGGGAAAGAAACCACAATGACCCAAATAGATTGCACTGGAAAAAAGGATAAAACACTGCAACATTTTATTATACACAACAATGCAATCTTGATAGACAGCAACATGATGTACGAGTGCTTGTGTGCCGCTCCTGGCAGCCCTCATACTTTATACCAGCATTTCTTAGCCTTCTTCTTAAAGGAGAACTATGGGGTCAGTGTTTTTCCCCATAGTTCTCATTAGGGTAATGGGAGGACACAAACTAGCGTCCTCCCGTTACCCTAAGCTCATTATACCGCGAGCTACAGCGTCGGGATCCGCCCAGCTGCGTGAGTGACAGCTGGCTCTGCCTATCTAGAGGCAGAGCCAGCTGTACCCGTCCCCTCCCCAGTCAGCGCTGGCAGATCGGAGGGGGGGAGAGGGGAACCCAGCCCGGTATGTGTTCGCTCACCTCCCAATCTACTGAGCCGACCTGTGACAGTCTCATTGTCACAGGTCGGCTAGAACTATGAGGTGAATGGAAATCACTCATCTCATAGTTCTCCTTTAAACTTTTTTTAGTCACTGCACCCTTTAAAAGTATGCAACATGTAAAAGAACCACGTGTGGCCCCTCTAATATACATACCGGACCCTTATCCCAAATAGGGGACTTGTATAGATTTTAGGAGAGGACCCCCCAAAAAGAGCTGTTCCCCCATCATATTCCCCCTTTGAAATCAGAAGCCCCCTTTACATCAGAGCCCCGTTACATTGGAATCCACCCTTCATATCAGAGTTCCCCCTTCACATGAGAAACCTGCCTGTACAATGAAAAAGGCATGATGCTGTGTGAACATTTTGAGGCACCCTTGAGGAAGGCAGAGGGCACCCCAGGGGGCCACGTCACCATGGTTGAGAAAAGCTGCCCTAGACAATGGTCTGTGTTGCTCAACCAGTCCTGTAACCAATAGGATTGGAAAGGTCAGTTTTAATCAACTGTTCAGCAAAGAAGCCAAATACACTATGGGGCTGATTTATACACCGCTCACCCTGTTACTATGCTCCTTTGCTCCATTTAGAGCCCATAAAATGCTGCAAATCTCTTTAAGAATCAGCTCAATAGTGTACAGAAAATCTCTGGCGGAACAACCTGCAAACAATACAAATCATAAAAATACAGCACAGAAACCATGAAAACTAAAAGACAACAGGAGATACAACAGGATCTCAAAATACACAAAAGCGTCCTGTCAAAATGCTTTGTGTGGTATTGTTTTGATTTCTAGAACTTTTGGCATATTTATCCATCAGAAAAAAAAAAAAAAGAGCAATTATTGTATAAATATGCTTTTATCTGGAACAGGAAAATATTTTGCTAATGAGCTATTTGAAGCAACAGAAAGATCTACAAAAGGTGTTTTTGTTTATTAGAGATGATTACATTGATTAAAGGAATCTTGTCCAATTAGTAAACAATGTTGAAGCTACTACAACCAGCTCACAGATACATAACAATCATGATCGCTATGTATACAGTATGTGCTAAGAGAGGCAACATGTGCTGAATAAAATGAATATGCTTACTTTGGCTTCATCGGCATACAGAGGAATATCGTGGAACGGAGAGATAAACTTTCCCTTGCAGTCTTCTACAAACAGAAAAATAAAACAAATGATGTTATTTTTCAGAAATTGCATATATTTATTTTAGTTTATAATAAACAATGAGATTCTTTTCGATAGAGATGAAGGTTAGAACTACGGCTGCAACTAAATATTATTTTCATTAGCTAGAATATAACATTTCTGGATAAGTTGGCCGATTATTTTTTCGATTAATCTGATAAAAAAAATATCATCCTTAATTTAAAATAAAAAATACACAATGCAGCGTTACGGACAAAGTTTACTTCAGAATAAAACTGCATGCACAATTTTTTGCAATCGCACTGGAATGCACAGCACTGCCGTACAGTGCGTTCCAGTGCGGGCGATCACACTGTGGGTTGGAGGCGCGTTTGGGGTGTCATTGAAATTAACGGCACTGCAATGCACCTGACGCGGCAGAAAATTACTTTTTTCCCACCTTTTATACTTTAAAAAATAATAATTGTATTGTAAGCACATGGCGCTTGAATAGTTTCAGCTGGGGAATGACAGCTGCCAGTGGGAAGATTTCCACAGAGGGCAGCTGAATGTAAATACAGCAGGTAGTGGGCCTGTGCAATCGCCAGCCTGCTATTAGCCATTTTAAAATTGCAATAGCCAATAAAAGGCTGGCTATTGCACCAGTCCACTGCTTGCTGTGCTCTCCTCTCAGCATGGAGGAGAGAGCTAGGGGATCCAACTAACTAATCGATGATTAGTTGGTTGCAGCCCTAGTTAGAACCTTTGTCACGTTTGTTTTACTGTCGGTGTCACTGCGGAGATTTCCCCGTACAACAAGACAGAAATCTAGGAGAAATCTCCACAATGAAGACAGACAGCAGGAGACAACATGTGAAGGAAGAAGACAGATAATAGACCGAAATGGAGCGGCTCAACTCTCACACATCCACTCCTGGTAATGGAACATTGGTGGCAGATGGGCTACTGCCTAGGCCTTAAAGCCAAGAGTCAATAGAAAACCGGCACTCAAAATGGGATCAGTCGCCGTAGCTACGACTAAGGCTAAGTTATGAAGCCGAAATGCCTCAGCTTGTTGACTGTTTTTATATCTATATGGGAATACATGAGATTACTGGATTGATCACATTTCGAGTGCGTTTTATATAGACTCTTGGATTTAAAGTAAGGAGGAACCTCACCAACCAGGGGGACCCTTAGCAAGACCAATTCTTGCACCCCCTTTTCAAATACTGGCCAAGTAAAAACACATTCACTGTGTATCGATCAACAGCTAAATAGAACTGAGCTGTGTCCAGGTGTTTGTGACAATGGGAGGGGTTCCAGCACCCATCTGACCCACATCTAGTATAAAAAGGCCCCTAAATCCTGGAGGGCCCTTCTATAACTGCACAGTCTGCACCATTGGTCTGTCCACCCCTGTCCCTTATATATATATATATACACACACACACACACACACACACACACACACACTTAAAATCAAGATGGACATGGCGAAGTACATCTGAAAGGTGGCACATGTACCCTTAAAAACCCCTGATTACATGGGAGTAGGGAAAAGACTGCAGTTAACACCAAGCCATAACAAAGCGTACGTTTGGGAAACATGACACTAAATATTTAACCTAAAAGAAACAAAGTTAAAGCTTATGACTATACCAAATGCATAGTCTATTTTTCCACTTCCCCCAGTAATGCAAGCTGCATTTTAACTAAAGGTTTTCTTCAGAAGGCTAGAAGTTTGGAAGATAATGAGCCTGTCTGCATCCACATATTAGCAATGCCCTTTAGAAATTTCCAAGCAAGGCAAACAAAGGCTGCATCTCCTGGGCATAAGTTACACAAATGAACACAGCATGAAAAAAAAAAAACTAGCTGAGAAAACTTTATAGTCGGTGATAAGCAAAAGGTTACCAGAGAAACAAAAAACAGCCTAGAGCTATAATAAATATTGAGCATTAATGCACATTAAATATTGAGCATTAATGCACATTAAGAAATATTAAGGTTTCCAACTTAAGTAGTAAACCCATCAGAACATAAACGTAAACAATTATTGGCGGTGCAGCATTAAAGCCTGCTGTCCATCAGCAGAGGAGCAGACCTGATTGACAGCAGGCAGTTGGTGGGTTTAATAGCCAGCCTGCTACTGGCTATTGCAATCTGAAATAGCCAATAGCAGGCTGGCTATTGCACTGCCCCCTGCCTGCTGTTTACATTCAGCTGCCGGGTGTGCACTCCTACCGCCCGCAGATGAATGGGGGCGGAGGCTCAGTAGGGGTCAACTGATATCAGGCGACTGTCTGCTGTTTACATTCAGCTGAACAGAAACAGAATGTCGGTATCTGATATTGGCTATTGGCCTGAAAGGTGGTCCATAATCGGTATTTGTTCTAATAAAATTAATATTGGTCGACTCCTTGTCTCCAGTCTGACTGTCTCCTGAAGCATGTCCCCGGTATCCAACAACTCCCACATTATGTTCTCAGTCTCGAACCATCTCTTTTAGCATGTCCATATTTTATCACCATCTCATTTTGCTTGTCTGCAGTTTTCCGTAACATTACATAATATATGCGGCCCGCTTGTAATGTCAGGGGAAGCACTTGGGGCCCACTACATAAAGTAAGTTGAACACCACTGCTCTAGTTGCTTTGGCTGTTGTTCTTATGATCTGGCTTCAATACTTTATGAGTAACCAAGCAGAAACAAGTATGCAGATCAGGAGTTTTGACTTCACTTGCTGAAGACTTGTTCCATTTGAAGTCAGTGACACAATGGGGTTGATTTACTAACCTAAACACACACACACACCAGGTGTGTGTGATTTTCACACAGCAAAACGTATTTATCAACCAAAAAGTCTCTAAAAGCATATTTCCACTAATGCCATATATGGAAAAATCATGCACATGATGCATATATAATGCTGCTTCACAGTTTAGACAAAAATGGTTAGCTCATGCATTTACATTCCTGCATTCATCAACGCAAGCAACATAACATAGAGCTAATTTACACCACATTACCTTGCAATTCATTGCAGGGCTTTGAACAACACACCTGCTGGGTGTGTACACACTACAAAGGTGTTTCGATTCCTCCCATTGATCATGCTGGGAGGGAACACACTACAGAGGTGTATACACGTTCGTGGTGTGTTTAAAAGGTTAGTAAATCAACCCCATAGAAATGAAGCCAGATACAGCTACGTCATGGTCCAGTATTGATAATGCTGTCATAACTTATCATCTAAAAGGCTACAGGCTAATACAAAACCCCACAGACACTATTTAAAGAAAAAAAGACTGCTGCAATGTCACATATCATAAAAAAAAAAAATATGGATGTAATGTAGGGAGGTATATATCCTAAATGAGGAATGATTTACGTCCAGAGCTTTTAATAAATGTACCTGTACTGATCTTATACTGTAGGTCAGGGGAAGGCAACCTTGGCATTTCCCTTTTGATAAGTAAGGTAACCTATCACAGTGATGGGTAGGTAGTGGGAAGTGGGAGAGGGCCTATCCAAGTACGGACTTCTGTTCAGAAATCCAAATTTGCACAGAGCATATCAATTTGTTTCATTATATGTTCAGGAGACAATCCCTTTCAGCAGGAGAGCAGTCTATATAGTAAAGGATAGCGGAGGCCACCAAGTATTTTCTGGTCTTTCGAGCCTGCATTGCTACAAGTCAGTTGAGTTGTATTTCATGTAAACGAAAAAGAAAGGGCAAGACATTTCTAACCTTGGCAGCCTTGTTAAAACACAGTTGTAAAAATAAAAAGGTGACAAACTGGATTTCTAGGCTGAGAACAGTTGATACGCTCAGACAAGCTGTTCTGTTGTTTGCAGTACTATAATTAAAACATCTAAAAGTTGAATATAACAGCACGTCTGCTATCAGCCGATTCCTCAATTGCATTTAAAGCTTCGGTATATTGCAGAAGCACATTCACGATGATACACCCACCGGTGTTCCCAGCCAAAAGAAAATCAAGTGAACTTGTCATGCAACTGTGTTTTTCCACAAGGCTGTTACTCTTAGACTCTAAAGGTGCCCATACACCTGTCGATTATCATACTATAATCGCGGGTGATCCCGCGAAAATCGGCAGGTGTATGGGCAGCATGTGACCACTTCGACTGTAAGGTCGCACGACTTTTGTCTTCCAAGCATGCTGGAAAACCTGCCGAAAATCGTACGATTTTCGGCGGGTGGGTGGCATGCTCGGAAGACAAATGCTGCACAGGCCGGTGTGCGTAAGTGCACACTGCCCGCTCAGCATTGCAATCATGGGCAAGCCCTCCCATCAGTGGGGAGGGCTTGCGATGATCGCAAGTACGATCTGCCTGTCCAAGATGGGCAGATCGTACGAAATTTTAAATCACCTTACAACCATCGCATAACGAAAGTCGTGCGATGGTTGTAAGGTGTATGGGCAGCTTTAGACTCTAATCAACGTGTGTGACTACAGGGGTGCACCAGAGCAAAGCTAAAACCTGTAATACCTTTATTCTGTCTACTGCCTATAACTCCAATACAAATTTCCGTTAAAGCTTCCAAATACTGTGTATATATTATATATATATATTTATTTGCATTCAGGCTAAAGCTGGTCATAGAGTGTAGCGGGCGGTGGCACATACAAGTGCAACTGAACTGTTCTAAGTGTAGAGACGCTTTAAAGCAGCTTTTCTCAACCTTTTTTTTAGTCACAGCACCCTATTAAGGTATGCAAAATCTTGAGGCACCCCAATCTAAAATATATATTAAAAAAAAAAAACATACTGCCCCTCCAAAATCAGTAGCAGACCTTTATCCCAGATAGGGGTCTTGTATGGATTGTCAGGGAAGACCCCATGCAAAAACACATTCTCCTATCACAGGAGTGTCCTCCCTTCAAAACAGGAGCCCTAGCTTCACATCAAAGCCAACCCTCCTTTCACATAGGTAGCCCTCTTTGTATCAGAAGCCCCCCTTCACACAAGGAGCCTCCTTTTCAATCAAACCCCC